ATCAAACATGGTGTCCATGATGCGCCACAGCTCCTCACCCATGTGTGTTGTCATGAGTACAGCAAGCATCGTAGCAGCAGAGAGGGAACGATTTCCACGATGGGTTGGGATGGCCTCGGTCGCAGTCCCAGTAGTGAGCACGACGGCAGCGTCGGAGGAGAAGTAGAGTGGGCTGTGTGCAGCTACAAGCACCTCGGCGAGGGCCACCACAAGTTCCAGGTCCACGCGAGAGAGAGACAACTCGTCACCGTCATCGGTCGCAGTGACGATGGGTTCGAGGGTGTCCGAGTGCTGCAGAGCTCGGAAGAGCTCCACCACGGAGTCCCGGGTCATTTTGTGCCCGAACGACTTGGTGTAGAGCTGGTCGAAGGACGCTGATCCTCCCCAGGTAGCGCGGAGCCATCGATGCAGCAGTCGCTGGCGAATCAACAGCTCGAAGGTAGGACGGTCGTCGGCAAAGAGGCGGTGGAGCTGGATCCCAAAGTCCTCTGGGTGCCGTCCCATGAAGGTGCAGATTGAGTCCACTCGACCTGAGTTCACGAGCGTAGCCAGGCTGACGTCGCTGCCAACGACGGCAGCTTCCACGACCGGTGCATGGTTCAGGACGGCAGCCGAGGATTTTGTCTCGAGAGAATGGAGCTCCGCGATGAGGTCGTCGAGTGGCACCTCGACATGCGAGATCTTGCCCTTGAGTGGTTTTGGGCACGTCACATACTCACCAGTAGTGGAGTGGACAGGGGCAGAGGCGAGCGGAGTGGGCTCTGGAATGATTGTCTCGAAGGAGACACCACTGTGGGTTGCCCGGTGCACCGCGTGTCCGAAGGTCCATCGCTCGTGGAGTGCGGCAAACGCATTTGGTGACGCCCAGGGCCGACCATGGGTGTGCACAGCGTGGGGCACCGTGGACACCGCTGGCTGCTTTCGGCGGACGTCAGTCCACTCGTTGGAGTCCTTGGTGGTAGTCTTCTGACGTTTAGCCGGCTTAGCTGAGCTAGCTGGTGGTGAGGTGGTAGAGGGTGCCGGTGGGGTTGACGGAGTAGCCGGAGTGATGTTGGCGGCGGCGGCGGCATCGAGGTCCAGGCGAGCCAGTCGCTTGTCACGGAAGAACCAGCCTTGGCCGTAGACTCGCAGGCATCGGCCACGGAAAATGAATTCCTCGACCATGCGGCCATCCAGGAGCATGGTCGAGGGAATTTCGGACCCCAGGAAGTGGAGCCGGTAACGCGACCCAGCCATGCCAGTCGTGGTGGACACACTCGTGTACATTCCCCACAAGAACCGGGGTTCGAGGCGATGCAGGGTTTCGAAGAGGAGTCGCTCCTCGAGGAGTCCATGGAGCCCGGCGGGAATATCCATAAAAAATCCATCGAGAGCGTGGGGGAGGGTTAGCTGGAAGGTCATGAAGGTGGTACTCTTGACCTTCCCGCTGGTGGTGGTAATACGCAGCTTCAACATCGCACCTTGAAGTTGTCTGAGAGCAGTCTCGCTGGCAATGCCCCATCGCAACATGTGGTTTTGGGGATCCTTCTCACACTTGATGACGTCGACGAGCGTGTCACCCTTGACCAACGACTGATTGTCGTGCAGCAGCGACGCCATGGCGGCATCCTCGTTGATGGCCTTGGTGTGGTTGCCCGTGGCCATGTGCAGCCATCCGACGACCTCGCGCTTGTCGTGCTTCTGGATGGGTAAGGTGTCGTGGAAGGACAGAGTGCCTGCAGCGTGCTTGGCAAGGAGCGGCTCCAGATCGGCCATGGATGGACGGTACGTGCCCACATCCTTCGCCCGTGACGCCTTGGTCGCCTCGACACGCTTGGCAGCGAAGGCGGTCCATGGATCGGTCGACGGCGGCGAGGCGACAGTCGTAGCCGAAGCTGCAGAGCCACGGGTGCGAGGGAGCGAGCGTTGGTTGACGTTTTCAGACGATCCAGCGTCACCAACACGAGCAGGTAAGGTGGCTTGGGACATCACATCACTTGGCGCATCTCCAGGGCTGACGGTGTTGGCGGTGGATAGGCCCAAACGGCCAGAATCGTCGTTGGCGGCCACCGGCGACCCCGAATCGTGATCGTCGACGTCCATGACGGCGCTGGCCACTCTGGTAGGCCCGGTGGATGGTGGTGAGGCTGACCGGTCACGCAGCATAGGCGCAAGAGCGGTTGCAGCACTCGCGATGGTGGTTACAGGCCGGCTAGCCATGGCCGGGTGGTGGCTCAACGTCGTCGAAGAACCCAACTTTGCACCCGTGGCGTCGTTTGAGGTGCCGTTTGGCACACCGACAGGTACCATGGGACCCGGGGAGGTGGCATACTCACGCACCATAGGCGGCGAAGCAGGATCGGTGGAGGCGGCGTCGCGTGTCGCCGAAAACGAGTTCAAGCCAAAATCGCGTATTTCGGCCACCGGAGAGGTCAAATCGTGAATTTCAACCTCCATGTCGTCGGAATTCGTCTCACCGGTCCCAGTGGTAGGTGGTGAGAGTGCATCCATGGTCTGCACCATAGAATTGGTGCCGGCGGCGACGGTAGCGGCGAGCAAGGGGGCGTTAGCGGTGGCTCGGGTAGTTACCATAGTTAACTCAAGTGAAAACAGTAGTGTTGTTTACAAGGCAAATAAGGAACTCTGTAGGTCAAGTGGTAGAGCGCCCAATTCCTGACCTGAAAGTCCCGAGTTCAAGTCCACCATTTCGCAACATTTTTCATATTTTTATTTTTACTTGGAAGTACACAAATGTCAGGCATTCCAAAATTCTTCCGAGGCATTAACGATGAGCAACTTGCTCATGGACTCATTAAGGTAACCCAAGCAAATCTTTATTTATCTACGTCACTTAAGTTGAGCTGAAGAGCTCAGCATATTCGCGTAAGTATGGTTCTCCTGCAAGGACTTGAGATGATCATCAAACGCAGTCGACATGGTGCGCATTGGATGCTGTCCACATGTTTCGAACGCCCTTGCTATCCACTGGTCCTTGACGTTTTCCTTGTTCATCTCATCGTAGGAGTCTTCGATGATTCCAACCAGTAGCTGGGATAGCCAGCCACGCATTTGATGAGGAGATTGTATGTGTGACCGGGTAGTTAATAAACCCGCCCTATTGCCCAGGGTAGTGAAATTTAGCCCGCCTGCGGCGCTGAGGGTAGTTATTGTGCCCGCGAAGGCCCAAAAGTAGTTATTAAGCCCGGGTAGTTATTGTTACCTATACGGTAAACAATCGAGGTTTTCCTTGCACTACTAACATAGCGAAAGAAATGTCGCATTGCACTGATCGAACGAATACACTCTACTAGTACATTTCATTGATACTGTATTCGTGACATCATGGCAGCTGAAGTTTTCGAGACGCAAGGAGGCATGTTATCTCAAATGTTACCTAGTATATTCCATGCATACCGTTATGCAAGGCGTTGTCGATGGCCTCCTGCCCGCGGGATACTGTAGCCCTGCAGCATATTCTTCCATGGAAGGTGTTCCTAGGACGCATGCACTTGCGTAACTACATCGCACGTATCGAATTCGCCAACACACTGATGACTTTAGCACTTGCCGTACAGAACTTTGGTAAGGGTAATAAAGCTATTATCCGGTATAGAAAAAAGTTTCAACGCAACTGTCCAACTTTTACGCTCATGATATTCAGTACAGTACTTCCCCATGTCATCGTGGCATCCAGGAGTAACATCAAAATATTTTGCTACATTATTTTCTCACCTCCCATTTGAAAAGGAAATGATCTGTCAGAATATAATTTGACATAAACATTTCTGTGTCCAAACTGGTACTTTTCTTGGAAAAATGGAGATATTATGCCACTTTTGGTGGATTCCAGACCCGCCCTTTGTAATGATGAAATATTTGGATCCAGTGTAAATTGTCTCGACTGTTGCGTGAACGACCGGTTTTATCTAGTTGTTTAGGATCGCTGTTAATGACGAGGGTTGTGTGTATTCGAGAGGATGAATGGATCGTGGTTGACATATCGGATGGATGGGAGAAGTTGGGGATGAGGGTTTTGAAATTCAATGAGGAGGGACTTAGGGTTGCTACAGTACCGGTACGCTGGTGGTAGATGGTGAGAAGTTGGTCCACAGAACCGCTTTAACAGTCTGTATTGTTGACGTCGAAATTCTCGACTTCTTCGGCAAATTGAGTCAACGCTTTGAAGATTTCCTTGCCGCGGGTACGGATGGTCGACGCGGGGGCGACAAAATGAGGACCAGCCACTTCGATGGTCAACACGGGCTTCTGATACGTGCGGTAGAGGTAGTCGTCGAACGCACCGAACAAAGCTCCAATGGGGGGGGAAGCCGCTGTCTGGCCCGTGTAGTCGCCACCGGTTGCGACGGCAATGTTGCGCCCGAGCCGTTCAAACTTTTCGTCTTCGCCGTTGCCGATTCGTTGCGTCTTGTCGCCATATGGGTACAAGATCAACCCCCCGAACGAATGCACGTCCACCCAGCCGGCGAGTTCAGTGTTCTTGGCCTTGAGCCACTCATCAATCCCTTTAGTTTCTGGTTCGCTGAACGGACCTGTTCCAGGGTAGTCTTGGGCCGAGGGGAGTATGGTTTTGGAGTTTTTGAAGGGAGTCGGCCAGTTGCGGTTCAAGTCAACTTCGTTGGCATTCGTGCGCTGCAACCGCTTGCCGTTCTTCCACGAAATGTCATACCCGTCGATGTTGGCGATCGGCACAAAGTACAAGTTGAACTTGTCCGCCGCCGTTGGCAATATCGTCCAGAATCGAAGACAACGCAAACAAGTTCGACGACCCCGCGATTCATTCCCGTGCGTGGAGCAGACTTTGGTAGTACAACGACCTGGGCTTGGACGCGCCGCTGGTCAGTTTGTACGCGTAGATAGTCTTGCCTTTGACGGTGGTCGAAATCGCTTCTTTTTTCAGCAAAGTTGGGTTCCAACGCATTCACGTACTCGAAGATTTGCTTCGACGTGCGGAAACAATTGTGGAACTTGCTGGCCGTGTACATCCCAGCTTTCAACGTCTGGATGTACCCGTCGTTGGTCGTGTGGCACTTGCGGTTGAGATTCGCGTCGGCTTGGGCTTGGGCGTCGGTGCTGAGTTTTCTGTCAGGACCTTGTACCGAGGCAGTGGCATCCCCCACGGCAAAGACGGCAGCCGTCGAGGCAAGCGCGAGAATGGCAATGGTCTTCATGAAGCAAATTCAACAATGACTGCAAGGTTTGAGGGGCTCGTGTGTGGGACACATCTGTGTGTAACGAACGTTATAGTATCAGAATTGTCTATTTGATACGTTTACTGAAAAGTGTATAAACTGCAGCTGACTATAGTATAAAAAGAACAAGGTACGGAAGCAATGATGGATATCAATCACATTATGCTAAATCACTCAACTTAGTCGAGGATAGATACCGAGAAATGAATAACAATTACGAGTATTTGCTTGGTGCATATCCATGCAAACATGACCGATGAGCTTCTAGTTTGGGAGGTGGGTGCTTCAGCGAAGCGTGATGTCGTTCGTGGCACACTTGCCTGCACGATGATTAGTTTCAAATCAAATGCGTCCTTCACTTCACGCACGACCTGCGCACCAGCAGTCGACTATCACTCGCTGTGTGATACCGCCGCCTCGCCTTGTACGATACCACCAAGCTACAGTACATGTATGATCGTGTCCCTGAACCATGGCATTACATCAGCCAGCACCCTTTTGACTAAGCGTCAAAATCAGACTAAAACTGGGCCATCTCTGTTTTGCGATATGATCTTTTGGACGTGACATGGAACATTTTATCATTAGTATTATGTAGTAGTATTGTGTGTTCTACTCAAAATTTCCTCCGGCGATTGGTTGAATCAACCGCCGAACAATCGCCGGACCTTCGAAATTTCATATAAAACTGAGTCATTAATCTTTTTAGCCAAACATATTGCAACCTTCATTCTTTGCAGCCAAACATACTCCTTTCCTCGATTAGTTGATTAGTTGGCGATTGCATCAATCCCCCAAAACAGGCAAATTTGGCTGAAAAGCATTGTATACCGCTTACGCTTTGGGCGCTGTCTTCTTATTGAAGTGATAATACTATTGTCCTTTTCACCTAATTTGGACAGGGTAGTTATTGGAGAAATGGACTTGAAGCACAATTTAATACCGTGAAATGTATACTGTACAAAAATTAAATATAAAATGTTTGTCTGGGACAAGATATGGGGCATATCTTTGAGCCAAACATCGCTGAAGTACCATTGGTTGGAATGTTGGATTGAAATAATATCATTGGCTCTTCGATTGGACTTGAAACTCCAACTTCTAAAACGAATGCATAACTCTATTACTTCGAAGTACTATTAATAGTAATACCGTACGTACTAGTAGTAGCAGTAACACACGCCGCTTCGCTTGTGTGCTGGCAGGAAAAAGGAATGGCGGTGAAGTACTTCAGTTCCTAGTACATAGTATTGTCAAATCGATTCGAAACTGGAGAATCAAATGTCTTTGGAGAATCGATTAAAGAACCGCCTGAGCCAATCAAATCACGTTATGCCAAATTTCTGCCAATCCAAACGTTTGACCCCTCCGCATTGGGCAAAACCACATATATATTAATCGTTGTATAGTATAGTTTGTACCTGATTAACAGTGGTCGAAGGCATCCAGGGCATCGGGATTAGGGTTATTTCAAAATATTATATTTGAGAGTACTCATATAAGCTTTCCTGTATCAACGTCAAAATCAATACTATTAAAAGATATAGGTTATTATTTGTAAATGTGACATTTCCGTCTTGTTTTGTGACATATCTCACAAGATATTCATTTCTACACCTGACATCCAAAGAACGTTTTTTATATGGCGTTTAGTTATGCACACAAGAAGTTTCACTGAAAAAGACCATCTGGACCTTAAGAAATGCATAAATATTCCCTCGATGCCTTCGACCACTGTAAATAGGATCAAATGATTTGGTGAAATGCCTCTCAAGTCCAAATTTGGGTGAAATGCACAATACTACTGTATGAACGTATTCACTTGGATTAGTGCATATCTACCGATTTCGATCGATTGCGCCAAATAAGTTGCAATAGTTGAGGTTATTAACTGTGAGTTGCAAAACCGTGTACCCACAACAGCCACCGACGCAAGTGCCGACGGCAACGAACTTAATCGATTTTACACAGTGAAATCGTAATGATGTAACAAAAAGTGATTATAAGGCTGCAAACTACTCTGATATTGATGCACCAAGAACAGCCACCGCCATAATCCCCCGATGATGATCTCTTTGATCAATGACCGCTGATTGAAAGATAATTGTTCGTCACAACAGTCGATCATTCGAAATTTATGGAATGTGTGTTTTATCGAAATTATCAAACTATTGGTATCGTAACGTTAACGTTACTTTTATCAAAATTATCAAGCGTCTTGATTAAACTATGGGTAACTTAGAGTTACTTAACCGTTACTAGAACTCGAATGTATGTTTTATCCATATTATCAAACTTCTTGATTAAACTATTGGGACCGTATTGTATACCGCTTACGCTTTGGGCGCAGGCTCCCTGTGAATCGTCCAATTACTCTGTGATCCTTAGTGCGCACTACTTTGTAGTATCGCCAAATCCCTCTATCGATTTTGTATGGCAGATTATCCTGTTTTAAATATTACTAGTACTGCACTTAAGATTAACGTATACAAGTACAGTGTACTTACGTAACGTATACTTACGTGCACATATACTACTGTATGTTCTGACTGTGAATACTAGTCATTTTGAATGTTACTTCATTTGATTATTGTAAATAATCTACT